GGTGCCGCCGCACGGCTCCGCCGCCGCCTGGCAGCAGCCCCAGGGAACGGGCTGCCAGGGAAGAGTACCGAGCGGGCGGCCGTGCGCTGGCCCCGCACTGCGGCCGCGGGAGAGCCGCCCCGGCCAGGCCTGCCGCCGCCTTTCTGCAGCCCGTGCGTTGTCACTGACAGAGCGTCAACTGTGCTCCAAGGCACCGGTTAGCACCTTGTAACTCCTCACTGCAATTAGCAACGTCTGTCACGCCCTGCCGCGAAGGGCGCTGCTGGGAGGAAAGCAGCAGGTGCTGCTCCCGAGGACAAGCGCCCTCAGCACATACAGGTCTAACCGACAGCCCAGCCCAGGTCGGCACCTCCCGCTCCAGCGCTGCCGCAGGGATGACTACCTGAAAGCAGTTATAGAACAGATGAGCCTGTTCCGCACAGCAGCACCTCTATGTGAAGTGTGTGACCGCTGGAGGAGCAGCTCTGGAAGGCCTGGAGCTTCCCCGCCCCAGCTCCAAGAGCCAACTCGACAGCATCTTTTGCCACAGCACAAGGAGGAGGTTTCCCTTACCACAGCGACACATAAAGCACAGAAGTGTGAGCTGAGGCCCCTTCAACCTGCTGCTACTTGTTCACTCCCTAAAAAGCTGGGCCCAAGAGAAAGCCAGTGCTCATCCCCAGCAGAGCTATTTGCTGCCACAGAAGCTCCAAGGTCACACACTATGAGCCCGTGGGGGCAGCTGCAGTACAGCCCCTACTTTGTGGGCATCTCTCCCCAATCTTTCACAAGAAAATAGACTTAAAGCTTTGGATTTTCAACATTCTTCCAGTTTACCATCTTCCTCACACATGACAGACCCCTTCCTTCTAGGGCAGCCGACTTAAGTAACAATGGCCTTAAATTGCACCCCCCACCACCACCTTGCTAAAGGCAGCTGTTACACTACAGAGCAAGCTCACTGAACAAGAATGTAACTGCAGCATAAAACCTGTGCCATTTCAAGGGATGGTATTTAGGAAACAGTATTTCAGAACTGTTTCCAGACAGCCCAGGTACAGCTGGTGAGATAGTCAGAGCTGCATGTTCTTGGAACAACTCTAAGAAATGTGTAGTCAAGACCAAGGATTTTTCAGTTAATGGACAAGAGACAGTCAGTCTTCATATAACATTTATTGAATATTTCCACTCTAGTGGATGAAAAGTCTGTACAAAACCAAACATTTCCTTTACTTAAACCAATCTAAAACCAGTCAGTTCAATCAAAACCCACTGCAAATACAATAGCTTCTTTGAAGCCATGGTAACACTTAAATATGGTTAAGACTTCAATGCAGAAATTTGGTTTGTTAGAAAGCTCAAGGGAGCTTTAGCTTCTCAAAGTTACAAAAAGGCAAAATCGTGTTTCACAGATACAGTCCACTGGAATCACCAACACTGGACAAGTAAGTACTTCAAGTCCTGAGATAACAAGAAATCTGGGCATCCTTTAGACAGTTTTCTGTTGTCCTTTCTTTCCAATCAGAGACTTGTGGATATGTGGTATTACACCTAAGAAAGAGCAACAATTAAGACCATGTTATTTCTCCTCAACTGCACTACAAAAAAAAAAAGACAGCATTTAGAAACCTCTAATCTGTTAAGAGTTCTTGCCACCTAGTTCATCACAGGCATAAATAAATTTACTTACCACCACCAGCAATTGTTGCCTTAATGAGAGAGTCCAATTCTTCATCTCCTCTAATTGCAAGCTGCAAGTGGCGGGGAGTGATACGTTTCACCTTCAAGTCTTTGGATGCATTTCCTGCCAGCTCAAGAACCTGAGAACAAGGTAATTTTTCAACTAAGATACACAAGTCAAGTGAGACAACAGCATTAGCTATTTTATTCTCTACACCAGACACACTGTTTGTGACATGAAGACAGTAAACAATGCCTCTTTGGACAGGGTTCCTCCTTTGGAGTTCTATATGTAGTTTCCCTAAAGGACAGAAAGTGTTTTACACAAATATGTTGTATTTGCTGTAATGTAAATTTTTATAAAATACTTCATACTTCTGTTTTTCCCTTAAGTTTGAACCAAAAGGTCCCATGTGTAATTTCATGGTCTCCTGACGTTAAGTCCTCACTTCAGACTAGCACAAAGCAACTGAAGAGTTCACAGCTCAGCCCAAACTGCCAAAATACAGTAGGATGTGGTCATTATGTCATTTACAAGAGCTGACTGACTTGCTCGCACCCCTTGCAGGAGCTTTACCTCAGCTGTCAAGTACTCCAGGATTGCAGCACTGTACACTGCAGCAGTGGCTCCCACACGCCCATGGCTGGTAGTCCTAGACTTCAGGTGCCTGTGGATGCGGCCAACAGGGAACTAGAAAATAACATGAGTAGGTTATGACAACAGAGACAGAAAGAGAAAGCCGCTACTCTTAGGCCCATGCTGGACAACAGAATGCCAGCGACTGAAACACATTTCAACACTTGAAACATCCAGCTGAGGACACTGCATGCCAAGCTCAATCAGCCACCTTAAAATTCTAACCACAAGCAGTATCAACAGCCATAAGGGAGCCTCTTTCCTCCTGTACAGATATGTAAAAGGCCTAAAAAAAAACGGGAGCCAGACACCAACACACACAAGCATCAAAGAGATGCCCGCAGCCCCCTGGAACACAGGCAGATGGCAGCGTGCAGCTTTCAGAAGCTACTACCAAAGCCAACCCGACTTCCATCCGCCCCCGCCCCAGTCCCCGCTCACCTGCAACCCAGCCCTCTGGGAGCGGGACACCGCTTTGGTCTTGGTCTTCCCGGAGTCCTTCCCGGCTTTTCCACCAGCCTGCGGGGCAGAGGAGCCGCGTCAGCCCA